CAGCAGGAGCAGGAGTCCAGTCCACACACCGTCCAAGAACGAATATTACCACTTAGTTCAGGCATGGGCAAACTAAGGCCCGGGGTCCAAATACTAATAATAGTCTAAACTTTTAATCCAAACTTTTCTAAATTATATAACTTATATACATTAACATTATACCTTTTTTTCTGCAATACCCATGTTTCCCTAATAGATGACGTAGAAAATGATAAAAGCATTAGCATTTTTTTAGCATTTTAGCCCTTATGAATGACTTTTACATGTCATTTATCTTAGTTTACACAAACATTCCATCTATCTACTCCTGACCAATTGTGGCCCATGAGTCAAAAAGTTTTTTACTTTTTCTCCTCCTTGTCATCTTCCTCCTTGACAATAAAGTTGCTCCAGCCCCATAACCCCATATCAACACTTGGTGGTTTTAATGATAAGAAGTGGACATTGTTTTGTTTTTAGTTTTGATTCCGTGATTCTAATCCTTTTTTATTTTATTTGTTTTTCTTTTCCAGGTTGTTAAAACTGGAGCTGAAAAGTGGATGCACACAGAGAGAGGAGTCAAAGGTCTAAGACATTTTTTTCCCTATAGCCAAAAGGCCGCTGCAAAATCACTGATCAAATTCTGCACTCTCCCTGCAGTCAAAGCCAAGTGACTGCATTAGACGGCATTCATTTAAGTCTAACAGTGTTATCTGTTAACTTGGGATGTTCGATATTAGCTTGATTATGTAATATTGCTAAGAATTGTTATCGGTTCCGATAATGAAAACCTGCAATGCCTGGGTTTTGCCCAGATGATGTGACCTAAAACTAGTTTTGAAGTGAAAGTAAAAATTATAATAATTAGTGCACAGTATTGTCTTTGTGTTGTGTGTGTCTGTGTGTGTGTGTGTGTGTGTGTGAGTGAGAGAGAGAGAGAGAGTCTATAGTCTAAAGCCATGATCTGTTTCTATTGGGTTTATAAAATCATTCCAGGTGAATGATGTTTTTATACATAGAAATGTCATTCATGGCTGTTTTTTTTTTACATGTGTGACAGTTGGCAAAACTTAAAGATTTTTACTGACAGTAACAGTGCTTACTGAACTCTGAACTGAAATTTTTGTTGCTAGGCTTCACACTGTATTGGCTGCAAAACTATTCACTCACTGCACATCTGCACACAAACACACCATCTTCTGATCATCTAAGTCACATCACTAGACAAACAGTCTGCTTAAACTAATACTGCACAAAAAATGTTTTCATGTTTTTATTGAAAACAACATGTAAACATTCACAGTGCAGGGTGGAAACGTATATGAACCTTTGGATTTAATAACTGGTTGACCCTCCTTTGGCAGCAATAACCTCAACCAAACATTTGGTCTAGTTGCAGATCAGACCGACACAATGATCAGGAGGAATTTTAGACCATTCCTCTGTAAAAACTGTTTCAGTTCAGCAATATTTTTGGGATGTCTGGTGTGAATCGCTCTCTTGAGTTCATACCACAGCATTTCTATCGGGTTGAGGTCAGGACTCTGACTGGGCCACTCCAGAAGGCGTATTTTTCTTCTGTTGAACCCATTCTGTTGTTGATTTACTTCAGTGCTTTGGGTCGTTGTCCTATTGCACCACTTGTCCTCTCTTAAGCTTCAGTTGGCGGACGAATGGTCTGACAGATGGCGGGTAGTTTTCAAAATGTCTTGATAAACTTGGGAATTCATTTTTCCATCGAAGACAGCAATCGGTCCAGGCCTTGAGGCAGTAAAGCAGCCCCAAACAACAATTAATTATCATACATCTTCTGAGAGCTCTTTTGTGCGAGGCATGGTTCACATCAGACAATGCCTCTTGGGAATAGCAAACTCAAAACTGGTGTGTTTTTTTAAAGGGCAACTTTAACCAACACATCCAATCTCATCACATTGATTGGACTCCAGGTTGGCTGACTCCTGGCTCCAATTAGCTCTTGGAGAAGTTATTAGCCTAGGGGTTCACATACGTTTTCCACCATGCACTGTAAATGTTTACATGTTGTGTTCAATAAAAACATGAAAACGGTTCACATACTTTTTCTTGCAACTTTATTGTACCTAACTTTTATTTGCAATAGTCCAAAGCGCTCCTGTGCATTGCCTGGCTTTTCTGTTGCGTTTGTTTGTTTGCTGAGCCAGCACGCACTTCTCTGTCAACTCCTCTCCCTCCTCGGGACCCCCGGGTCACCTAGACCCAATATCTCTTTGTGTCTGTCTGTGTGTGTGTGTGTGCGTGCATGCGTGAGTATGCGTGCGTGTGCATGTACCTGTACTGCATGACTTGTGCCAACTTTTCCTCATATTCATTAATACTAATTATAATCATATTGTAATAATCATTGCAAGGACAAACAAAAATGCGAAGGACCGCACAAGGGTTAATAAGGTCCAATACACCTATCGGTGCCGAACAACAGTTCAAAGGGAGAAAATCCCATGGAGGCCTGGGGCACCTCCCGCACTGCAAACGACAGGGGGTCTAGCCACTTATCCCAGTTTGTACTGTCCTCCTGAATGAACTTATGGATAATGGACTCAAAGTCTTATTCAGACACTTCGCCAATCCATCGGCCTGAGGATGGTAGACGCTGCTCCGAATAGACTTAATGCCCATACAGTACTTTCAGGTCTGTGACATAAATGATGTTCCCTGGTAGTCATAAAACTTGCTCATGTAGCCTACGAATTTTCCAGCTGTTTTAAAACAGTACCTTATTAAATTAGCATAATTTCCATGTAGTCATAAAACTTCCTCATGTAGCCTGCGAACTTATGTGTATGCAATTCGAATGTCTAATTGCACTGTGATTTTCCAGCTGTTTTAAAAAAGTACAACACCACCACTGACCACCCTTCAATGATGAAAGATCTAGCAGAGCCACCATTCACACAAGAGAGTAAAAAGATAAAACACTGGTGTTTTAAATTTATTTTCATCTTTTGGCTTATGCTTGATATGACTTGGTTCAATTTGTAATTTGTATCTATTGTTACTATATGTGGTATAATCTCTTTGACCAATGCTTTTGCCACTGTAATAGCATCAGCAGCTTTTGATGGGAACAATTCTACCCATTTAGAAAAGGCATCCACTATGACTAGACAGTATTTCTTGGAGTTCAATGAAATCCATATGTAGCACCTGGAATGGGTAATTAGGTTTTGGGAACTTTCCTCTTTTTGGTCCCATGTTCTCTTGTGAATTATGTTTATCACATGTTAGACATGCTGCACAATTTTTTTTTAGTAATTATTAAATCTATAGTTGGTGAACACTTTGTTTATGGTATTCACCGTCCCTCCTCCAATATTGCAACCCATTTAAACAATGATTTTGGTAAAATTGGTTTACTTTCAGGTGATACATATATTTTATTGACTGTCTGACCTGACCCTTACATCACTTTCTCTCACTTCCTCTTTACCTTCTTTTCACTTTCTCTTTACCTTCTTTTCACTTTCTCCTTACTTTCTTTTCCTGTTGATGCCCTCATGACATTATGAATGCAGTAAAGTTGACATATGCTACAACAATCATGTGTTACCCTTTCATACATCAATATTTGTCTCTCACCCCTCTTTTTGTGAAACAGTACATATAGTAAATGGAACATGCCTATTTTACCTGTTGAAATGCAGAACACTTCTGCATTGAAGTGTTATTGAAACAGTGACAGGGATTACGTAAGGCATTCCCGACACACACGTGTGTGTGTTCTGTGCAGCAGCATGGCCCTATTTATGATTGATAGCTGGGCCATCCAATAAGAGCCTGCTACAGTACAGTAGTAGAAATAGAAATAAATAGATTAAGAAACATAGAACCAAGTTGCGAAAAAAATGAAAAAAAATAAAGATGGCTAAATGTTGGACCCAAAGATAATTTTGGATGCAACAAAACTAACGTTTCAGTGGAAAGTCTGGAAAACATTATATATATGTATAGTATATATATTATATTTACATATATATTATATATTTATATATATATAATAATGTATTAATATATGTTATTTATTATTATTATGTAATTTAAAAATAAAAATGGTATATATAATGCATGAAA